CCCGCCCGGTGACATTTCTGTGTCCCCTCCCCGTGGGTCCCCGAGCTTGCAAATTTGAACGCTTGGTTCCAAATGGAAAGCCAGGCAACCGCTGTTCGTGAAAGGCAGACGGGCACAGGGTCTCGCTGCATCGCTCAGGGCTAAGTTGCTGAGGCTGGCCTCCAAAACTTGCGAGATCCTCCTGCCTCAGCCTCCCCAGCTGCTGGGATGACAGGCGTGAGACACCGCGCCCGGCTTCGGGATATTTTATCAAGAGAGAAAAGGAGTGTGACCAGCCCAGCTGCCAAAGGATCATTGGAAGAGGCGGGGCCCGGCGTCTGGCTGTCCCCTCGAAGCACCTGGTGGACACTGTGTGGATCCCGCAGAGGGGTCCCCCCTTGGTGTCTCCAACGCAGTCTCCGAAGGCAGCTCAGCCCCGGAATTCCATCCCGTCTCCCAGGCTCCCAGGAACGAGGACCTTCCCTGGGACAAGGGGCTGGCGGACCGAGTTCTAGATTCCGCTAACGACAGGGCTTTGGGTGCGATGGCAGATGCCAAATCGCAGCCCGTGAGGAGTCAGCGCTTGGCCCCAAGGGTTTAGGGGGACCCAGACCGACGGGGAGGAGGGGACTCAGACCCAATGGCAGAACCAAAATGGTGCCCGGGACAAGGTCGTTTGGAGGAGAGAAGTGGTGGGTGTCCTGTCTCAAGGGGACTCAAGGACCTGAGCGTCACGGGGCAGCCACGGAGAGCCGTGCCTGGTGGGTGCATGGACCCTCGACGGAACTGGCCATCGGGCACCTCGGAAGGGACATCCAAGCAGCTTGGAGGGTTGTTGGTGCAGAGGTCTGCTGGGACCAGCGGTCTCTTCTTTCCTGGGACCAAGAGATGGATCCAACCCAAGATGGACAGGGGGAGCCCAGAGGCACTTGTAGCACGAGGGCCACCAACCTCGAGTGACAACCTGGCTCCGGTTCCATGGGGCGACGTGGGGTCCTGCATGTTTAGTGTCACTGAAATCGAGTTCAGTTAAGCTCAGGGAGGCCCATGTGGCCGGTGGCCGCCATATTGGATGGCGCCATATTGGATGGCGGCCAGTGGAATTCTGATGGGCTCCTGTTTGGTTCCTTCAGGGTCTTAGTGGGTGGAGCCGTTGGAACACAGAATGTCACACAGACGGGGGACACCAACAATGGACACTTAACCGGGGGCTGCTCGACCACTGGACTGCACTCCTGGCCTCTTTATTGTGAACTTTGGAGGCAGGGCCTTGCTAAATCACCCAGGCTGGCCTCCAACGTTCGATCCTCCTGCCTCAGCCTCCTGAGTTGCTGGGATGACAGGCGTGCACCACCGTGCCTGGTCCCCTCACACAAAAAGCTTTTCTTTTTGCTGTTTAAACGTACTCCTCTGCCCCAGTCCTGAAGGACATGTCCCTCGTCCCCACAGCAGGTCCTCCGTCTTCCTCCTCAACCATCCATTGGTTCCCAAGACGTGGCCCAAGTCATTCCCAGTGGACGATCGTTCCCACACCCCCCGGGGACATCCGTGCGTGAGTGACGGGTCCATCTCTTTGGTGAGCATTGCCTCTCGGGCTGACCCGAGGGTGGTGGGGTCTCCAAAGCCTTCGCTGAGGCACAGGGCTCCTCGTGTTCCGCCATATGCAAAAATGGCCGCCGGTGGGAAAATGTGGCTCAGGTGCATCTGCTCGGCTTTCTGACCCATTTCAGCCCAAACTCTGCACTTTCCTCTTCATGTCCCTGCATCCCAGGTGACATAGAGTCCCTTGACTCTGGGTGGTTGGTGGCAGTTTCAGTGACCTTGAGAGTTGCGAGAAGGACATAACCAGGATTCTCTGGAGTGGCGTCCACTGGGCTTGGTCTGGTGTGTTTTTCTCGCGGGTGGATGGGGGTGGCTGGTTTCATGGAGGAGGACCCGTTGTGACCCCATCGGTGGACTGCAGGACCGAGCCCGTTATGTCATTCCATTGTGTCACCGTCGGCGCTGGCCTTGGTCCAACGGCTGAGGCAACGCGGGTCGGGCGGAGTGTCTCGGTAAAATGCCTGGAATCTGGGTGTGACACTTATCTTGCCCCCTTCATTTATTTATTCGTCAATGATTAAGTGGACATTTCTGTCACATTTGCGGTCACTCCTCCATATTCCTTTACTTTCTGGGTGAAATTGCTCCACCTTTGGGCACTGGGAACGCCTTCATATTGGTTTCTTAGACGTTCTTCATTGGGGGGCGGATGGATTTGAGCATTTGCCCAGTTTCTGGTCCCTACGAGATGGCTCGGGGACACCCTCGTCCTAGAAGTGACAAAAATGTGTCCTCACCGTGAGGATCCACTTTTGAGGACCGATATATATATATATATTTCATTCACCATTTCAGAGAATTCTGCCCAATTCCGACCCCTTGGCTTGGGGTCCGTGTGGAGGCAGAACATCATGGTGGATCACTTGATGTGGCAAAGGCGCCCGGCTCCTGACGTCCAGGAAACAGAAAAGAAGAAGAGCCTGGGGTCCCAGTAGCCCCTTTAAGAACACTCTCTAAAGACCTAACTTCCTCCCTTCAGGCTCCACCTCCTTGAGCTCTCACCACCTGCAACAGGCCACCGTGGAGACCAAGTCTTGAGCCCATGGCCTCTGGGGGACACTCTAGATCCAAACTGTAGGTGTCAGGGCTTCCCTGGGGAGGGGTCCTCGTCCCTAGTGTCCAACACGGTAACAGGAAACGAGAATCGGGTTTTGAGTGGCGGGAAGGAGGCGCGTCTCCACGGTCCACCATTAAACCCCCGTCTCTGATTCCTGTGTTTTTCTTCCCTCTGTTCTGTCTGTCACCTAGGGTGTCTGACGTGACAGAGGGCGCAGGTGACGGTGGTGACCTCCACCAAACGGCACGGCAGGCAGGAGCCGGGAAGTCGTGAGACCAGCCCTGGAGGACCAGCCCGCGGCGGGCACCGTCTCAGCACCCGAGGCTCGCGCCCGGCCCGGGTCACCGCGCCGCCCGTCTCCGGGGACCGCCAGCCGGCCAGCATGCCAGTCCAGCGGCACCGGGGCGCGGGGTGGGTGACGGTCCACGAGGATTAAGGCCATCTCCCCGCCACTCATCTTGGCAAGCCATCCCCAGGCAACCAGGAGCCTCGGGCACTGTCACCTCCGGGCCATCTTGGTGTCCGTAGCGTCCATCTGCCCCCGTGGTCCCCTCCAGCCGCCCCCCGCCCAGCTGCCTGCCTGGCGCTCCCCGTCTGAGGTCTCCATGGCTGTCCCCTCGTCCATAGTTGCAATACACGGGGTCCCGTGCCCTCGGGGGCCCTAGGGGACATGCTGACTTGCTCCTGTCACCTGTCCCTGGGGAGGGGGCACCATCCGCTGCCCACGAATCGCCATCGTTAGGGGTGGGTGCCCCCGGGTCCCCACCGCGACCCTCAGGCTCAGCGCGCGCCCCGCGCTCCCGGCTTCCTCCCGTGTCCGCGCGGCCACCAGCTCCGGGGACATCGCCTCGGGGACTCGCTGCCACGTCGTCACCCCGATATGGTCACCTAGTCGGCTGCAGAGAGGAGAGATGGCGCCGGGGAAGGAGGGGACCCCCGGCGAGACCCGGGTGGGACCGTCTGCCCCGGGACCGCCGGAGACTCCCAGGAGGTGCCCAGAGCAGACGCAGCCGGGGTGACGCGGGGACTCCGGGGCACGCCTGCGTCACGTTGGACGGCCAAGGCCCAGAGGCAGGGACGCAGATGGCCCCCGGGAGTGTCCCCGGCGCCGACGGGGACGCCGGCCCCTCCTCCTCCCGTCCGTCCGCGTGTCCCCCGTGAGCCTTTTCTACACCCAAAGCTGCCATTTGTGGAGTCTCGTAGGCGTGACGTGTGGCCCTCCGTGTCATCTCTCCATCGCTTCCGCCTCCTCGTGCGGAGAGAGGCCCTCGGACGAGGCTGAGGCGTCCCCACACCCATGGCTGCTCCAGAAAATAAAATATTTTTGAAACCGCCGCTGGGTCTCCCTGTGACACCGCACCGCCACCCGCCCACCCGACGGTCACCTGAGCCCCAGAGCCACGCTGAGGTCACTTTCTTAAAGGCCACCTGCCCTCCCGGCACCTCAGGGGAGTTCAGGCCGGCTCCTAAGTCCCCCCATGAGGCCTTTGTTTCTTGCTGTGACTGTCACAAAACGCTTGAGGTTGGGTGATGCACAAAAAAGGTTCTGGACGTCCCCGGGTCCTGGAAGCCGGTCAGGGCCGGCGAGGGCGGGCTTCAGTGTGGCTCTGCGAGGGACAGAGCCAAAGCTGTCACCTACTTATTAAAAACTGACAGAAAGATACCACGACCCACGCCTGGCCACTCCACAGTGTCCACTGGGTCACGTCCCATCAGGTGACTTGGTGCTTGAACAGGTGGACGGGGACAGGTTCCAGGGCTTCGTGATCTCGGTTAGGGGGTGACACACAGTTGTTCGGGGCTCATCCAAGAGAACAGGGGAACAGTGTTGGCCTTGGCGCTGTGAGAGGGGCCCCAGCGTGGACACGGGGGACATTTGAGGCTGGGACACCCTTCCCCATGACCTGGGGCCACCCAGCTCCTGTGACACCCTGGTACATCGTCAATTTCCACGCGGACAAAGTCCCTCCACCATGTGTCCCCAGCCAGGGGCGACGTTGGGAGTCCCCATGGGTGGACGGCTCAGGGCCCCCCAGGACCGCGTCCAGCCCACCGCGAGGTCGCGGATGGAGTTGCCTCGACTGGAGTCCATGCTGGGGACGTGATCCCGGGGTACCCCGAGAAAGGGACTTACCTGGTGCCCCACGGAGGTCCCGGTCTGTCTACGGCCGCCATTTTGGAATCAGGGTGAGCCCAGGCCCAGCTGGACAGGGCGGGAGGGCAGCTGTGGACACCCGCCCTCTGCTGCCACCTCGGCCCTGGATGTTTCAAGTCCCCCCAGGAACCAAATTAGAAGCCACAGACGTGTGACTCTAAGTGTGAATGTTGTCAACCCAGGGGGCGGGGCCCTGTCACCAGCCACCGGCCAGGCCACCGCTGCGTGTTAGCTGAGAAGAGCCAAGCCCGCGGGTCTCTGTGCATGCGACCTTATTATGAGTATTTTATTTTTTTTTCCATGAAAAACCTCCATTTGAGGTCGGAACGCAACAGCTGCAGGAAGGTGCAAAGACGCTCAATTATCTCAGATTCCTGCAAAAGTTCCAGACACAAATAGAAACATCGGTCCCTAACCCAAGCCCTGGGTGAGGGATGGCGGTTGGATGAAACCTTGCACCATCCCCCGCCATCCCGGGGGAACACGCCCCGTGACGTGGACACCCTAAATTTCCTGCCGGTGGCTTAGAATTCCTGCTAAAAGTTGCACAAAAAAAAAAGGAGAAAATTCTATTTTCTTTTTCAGGGCTGAATATTGATCCCAGGACCTCACACATGCACGGCCAGGGTTATCCCGCTGAGCGCCACCCCCGGTCCCCAAATAAATTCTTATGATATCATTGAGCCCAGCACGGTGGTCCACACCTAGAGCCCCGGTGACTCGGGAGGCTGAGGCAGGAGGATGGCAAGTCGAGGCCAGCCTCAGTAAATCAGGGAGACCCTCAGCAACTAAGTGAGGCCCGGTCTCCAAATAAAAAGTAAAAGGAGCTGAGGTCGCGGCTGGGTTGCCGAGCGCCCTGAGGTCAGTCCCCAGCTCTGCATCACAGTGTGTCACCGCTCGTCACCCCCTTGGGATTTACATAGGAAATTCGTCTTCCCCACGGGGGATGACAACCCTGCCCTTTTGTGACCTGCCTCCACCCAGAGAGCTGTGGGCTCTGGGGCCTCGGAAGGAAAGAGATGTCCCTTCAGAGCGAGGTCGACAGGCTCCCGCGGTCGGGAAACGGCTGACCTCGTTCCCGAGCCGCTGGAGAGGAACATCGTCCAGTGCATGTGAAGAGGCACACGCCACCACCACCACGCTCTCCATGACGGCTCTGCACTCCCGGCTCTCACGGTGCCACCGAGACGCAGAGCCATGGAG